TCGGGGGTGGGGGGGGCGAGTGCAAGAACATATATCTGTACATACGTTCCTACTTCCTTCTGGCATCCCCTCAGCATCCCACAACCTGGAGAGCAAGGCTTAGCCATGCAAGCAGTCCTCTTTCCCCACCTTTCTGTGGGGCAGACATCCTGGCCGAGAGCTGCCTCCTGATCTCAAGCCCCATCACCAAGGCTGGAGATGAGGGCATCTGTTATTCAGACAGTGATGCCTGACTGCTCAGTGAAGAAAATCCTGATTAAAAAACAGCATGTTGCCCTTCCTGTTTGCTTTGCAGTGGCCTTGTGTGGATCCAGCTCTACAGCAAGCGATCCAAAACCAACAACCAGAAAGATGCATATCATACACACACAAAAATACTTCACATTTCACTTAGTTTTCCACATCTTCCACTCTCATTGCCCTTCTGCATCATCTAGTTCAATGCTCCTCAGTATCTTTTCTTTAACCTAATTATTTTTATATATTTTTTATATATATATATATATGGACCACTTAATTGTTATTTTTAAACCAAGGACCATTTTGTGCAGTACTGTCACATAAACTTTCAAAGACAATCAAATTTAAAAAAAAACCAAACACAATGAATACACATTTCTCACTTTGCCACTTCTGACCCTAAGTTTCAGGTTTTTTGCTTACATGCAACCGAATGCACGTGTCATTGTCATACTGCTCACAACTGGTTTATTCACCATCTTCTGATATTCATGGACTATAAGTTAAGTAACACTCCTCCAGCTAATTAGTTTATTCAGGAAGCACAGATGACTAACTGATGAGCTACAAAAAGTCGCTATTGTCTGAGTCAGTCACCAAGCAACTAACTTGGCCATTCAACCAGGGAGAAGTTTTCTTCTCTGAAAGGTGACAAGTAGCTATGTAATGACTTCTATTATTTTTTCAATAAACTCAGAGAAAATAGGACATTGCAGCTAGAAAAACACAGGAAGAGAAATTAACTGCTACTGTCATTAAGGATTCAGAGGCTGAAAAAGAACAGTTGGTGCAATGCAGCTGGAGAGGCTTTTCGGAGTAAAGTGATTATTCTCTGGCCCTTAATGAATTATTTTTTGCTGGAGTGCAAGACCTGCACTCCTCCAAATAACCTAGCTTTGCCGCAAGGAGCACACTGTCTGCCGGGGCAGGCGAGAGCCATTGTCCTCCTGGGCCTCCTGGTAGCCACTGCACTTCTCCCACCTCTTTGTTGCCATGCCACAAGAAAAGCAGAGAAATAATTAAAAGGTTGAAGCACATAGAGGCACTGGAGGAGAGACTGCTCTTCAAAACTAGCCTGACCAACTGAATTTGGAGCTACGGCCTCGGGTGTTCAGGGGGCCACCTACCCTCAGCAGCCCCACTGAAGCTCAGTGAGGTGACGCAGCAAGCTTCCTTTGCCTCTCTTGCCTGTCAGAGCTCACCCCCAATCACTGGCTCAAAGATAACAAGATAATAAGACGTTTACGGACTTGGTCGGTCCTGGGGCTTGTTCTGTGAATTTTGCGCCTGCCATGGGGGAGGCGGGGGGGG